AACCCTAAACCCTAAACCCTAAACCCTAAACCCTAAACCCTAAACCCTAAACCCTAAACCCTAAACCCTAAACCCTAAACCCTAAACCCTAAACCCTAAACCCTAAACCCTAAACCCTAAACCCTAAACCCTAAACCCTAAACCCTAAACCCTAAACCCTAAACCCTAAACCCTAAACCCTAAACCCTAAACCCTAAACCCTAAACCCTAAACCCTAAACCCTAAACCCTAAACCCTAAACCCTAAACCCTAAACCCTAAACCCTAAACCCTAAACCCTAAACCCTAAACCCTAAACCCTAAACCCTAAACCCTAAACCCTAAACCCTAAACCCTAAACCCTAAACCCTAAACCCTAAACCCTAAACCCTAAACCCTAAACCCTAAACCCTAAACCCTAAACCCTAAACCCTAAACCCTAAACCCTAAACCCTAAACCCTAAACCCTAAACCCTAAACCCTAAACCCTAAACCCTAAACCCTAAACCCTAAACCCTAAACCCTAAACCCTAAACCCTAAACCCTAAACCCTAAACCCTAAACCCTAAACCCTAAACCCTAAACCCTAAACCCTAAACCCTAAACCCTAAACCCTAAACCCTAAACCCTAAACCCTAAACCCTAAACCCTAAACCCTAAACCCTAAACCCTAAACCCTAAACCCTAAACCCTAAACCCTAAACCCTAAACCCTAAACCCTAAACCCTAAACCCTAAACCCTAAACCCTAAACCCTAAACCCTAAACCCTAAACCCTAAACCCTAAACCCTAAACCCTAAACCCTAAACCCTAAACCCTAAACCCTAAACCCTAAACCCTAAACCCTAAACCCTAAACCCTAAACCCTAAACCCTAAACCCTAAACCCTAAACCCTAAACCCTAAACCCTAAACCCTAAACCCTAAACCCTAAACCCTAAACCCTAAACCCTAAACCCTAAACCCTAAACCCTAAACCCTAAACCCTAAACCCTAAACCCTAAACCCTAAACCCTAAACCCTAAACCCTAAACCCTAAACCCTAAACCCTAAACCCTAAACCCTAAACCCTAAACCCTAAACCCTAAACCCTAAACCCTAAACCCTAAACCCTAAACCCTAAACCCTAAACCCTAAACCCTAAACCCTAAACCCTAAACCCTAAACCCTAAACCCTAAACCCTAAACCCTAAACCCTAAACCCTAAACCCTAAACCCTAAACCCTAAACCCTAAACCCTAAACCCTAAACCCTAAACCCTAAACCCTAAACCCTAAACCCTAAACCCTAAACCCTAAACCCTAAACCCTAAACCCTAAACCCTAAACCCTAAACCCTAAACCCTAAACCCTAAACCCTAAACCCTAAACCCTAAACCCTAAACCCTAAACCCTAAACCCTAAACCCTAAACCCTAAACCCTAAACCCTAAACCCTAAACCCTAAACCCTAAACCCTAAACCCTAAACCCTAAACCCTAAACCCTAAACCCTAAACCCTAAACCCTAAACCCTAAACCCTAAACCCTAAACCCTAAACCCTAAACCCTAAACCCTAAACCCTAAACCCTAAACCCTAAACCCTAAACCCTAAACCCTAAACCCTAAACCCTAAACCCTAAACCCTAAACCCTAAACCCTAAACCCTAAACCCTAAACCCTAAACCCTAAACCCTAAACCCTAAACCCTAAACCCTAAACCCTAAACCCTAAACCCTAAACCCTAAACCCTAAACCCTAAACCCTAAACCCTAAACCCTAAACCCTAAACCCTAAACCCTAAACCCTAAACCCTAAACCCTAAACCCTAAACCCTAAACCCTAAACCCTAAACCCTAAACCCTAAACCCTAAACCCTAAACCCTAAACCCTAAACCCTAAACCCTAAACCCTAAACCCTAAACCCTAAACCCTAAACCCTAAACCCTAAACCCTAAACCCTAAACCCTAAACCCTAAACCCTAAACCCTAAACCCTAAACCCTAAACCCTAAACCCTAAACCCTAAACCCTAAACCCTAAACCCTAAACCCTAAACCCTAAACCCTAAACCCTAAACCCTAAACCCTAAACCCTAAACCCTAAACCCTAAACCCTAAACCCTAAACCCTAAACCCTAAACCCTAAACCCTAAACCCTAAACCCTAAACCCTAAACCCTAAACCCTAAACCCTAAACCCTAAACCCTAAACCCTAAACCCTAAACCCTAAACCCTAAACCCTAAACCCTAAACCCTAAACCCTAAACCCTAAACCCTAAACCCTAAACCCTAAACCCTAAACCCTAAACCCTAAACCCTAAACCCTAAACCCTAAACCCTAAACCCTAAACCCTAAACCCTAAACCCTAAACCCTAAACCCTAAACCCTAAACCCTAAACCCTAAACCCTAAACCCTAAACCCTAAACCCTAAACCCTAAACCCTAAACCCTAAACCCTAAACCCTAAACCCTAAACCCTAAACCCTAAACCCTAAACCCTAAACCCTAAACCCTAAACCCTAAACCCTAAACCCTAAACCCTAAACCCTAAACCCTAAACCCTAAACCCTAAACCCTAAACCCTAAACCCTAAACCCTAAACCCTAAACCCTAAACCCTAAACCCTAAACCCTAAACCCTAAACCCTAAACCCTAAACCCTAAACCCTAAACCCTAAACCCTAAACCCTAAACCCTAAACCCTAAACCCTAAACCCTAAACCCTAAACCCTAAACCCTAAACCCTAAACCCTAAACCCTAAACCCTAAACCCTAAACCCTAAACCCTAAACCCTAAACCCTAAACCCTAAACCCTAAACCCTAAACCCTAAACCCTAAACCCTAAACCCTAAACCCTAAACCCTAAACCCTAAACCCTAAACCCTAAACCCTAAACCCTAAACCCTAAACCCTAAACCCTAAACCCTAAACCCTAAACCCTAAACCCTAAACCCTAAACCCTAAACCCTAAACCCTAAACCCTAAACCCTAAACCCTAAACCCTAAACCCTAAACCCTAAACCCTAAACCCTAAACCCTAAACCCTAAACCCTAAACCCTAAACCCTAAACCCTAAACCCTAAACCCTAAACCCTAAACCCTAAACCCTAAACCCTAAACCCTAAACCCTAAACCCTAAACCCTAAACCCTAAACCCTAAACCCTAAACCCTAAACCCTAAACCCTAAACCCTAAACCCTAAACCCTAAACCCTAAACCCTAAACCCTAAACCCTAAACCCTAAACCCTAAACCCTAAACCCTAAACCCTAAACCCTAAACCCTAAACCCTAAACCCTAAACCCTAAACCCTAAACCCTAAACCCTAAACCCTAAACCCTAAACCCTAAACCCTAAACCCTAAACCCTAAACCCTAAACCCTAAACCCTAAACCCTAAACCCTAAACCCTAAACCCTAAACCCTAAACCCTAAACCCTAAACCCTAAACCCTAAACCCTAAACCCTAAACCCTAAACCCTAAACCCTAAACCCTAAACCCTAAACCCTAAACCCTAAACCCTAAACCCTAAACCCTAAACCCTAAACCCTAAACCCTAAACCCTAAACCCTAAACCCTAAACCCTAAACCCTAAACCCTAAACCCTAAACCCTAAACCCTAAACCCTAAACCCTAAACCCTAAACCCTAAACCCTAAACCCTAAACCCTAAACCCTAAACCCTAAACCCTAAACCCTAAACCCTAAACCCTAAACCCTAAACCCTAAACCCTAAACCCTAAACCCTAAACCCTAAACCCTAAACCCTAAACCCTAAACCCTAAACCCTAAACCCTAAACCCTAAACCCTAAACCCTAAACCCTAAACCCTAAACCCTAAACCCTAAACCCTAAACCCTAAACCCTAAACCCTAAACCCTAAACCCTAAACCCTAAACCCTAAACCCTAAACCCTAAACCCTAAACCCTAAACCCTAAACCCTAAACCCTAAACCCTAAACCCTAAACCCTAAACCCTAAACCCTAAACCCTAAACCCTAAACCCTAAACCCTAAACCCTAAACCCTAAACCCTAAACCCTAAACCCTAAACCCTAAACCCTAAACCCTAAACCCTAAACCCTAAACCCTAAACCCTAAACCCTAAACCCTAAACCCTAAACCCTAAACCCTAAACCCTAAACCCTAAACCCTAAACCCTAAACCCTAAACCCTAAACCCTAAACCCTAAACCCTAAACCCTAAACCCTAAACCCTAAACCCTAAACCCTAAACCCTAAACCCTAAACCCTAAACCCTAAACCCTAAACCCTAAACCCTAAACCCTAAACCCTAAACCCTAAACCCTAAACCCTAAACCCTAAACCCTAAACCCTAAACCCTAAACCCTAAACCCTAAACCCTAAACCCTAAACCCTAAACCCTAAACCCTAAACCCTAAACCCTAAACCCTAAACCCTAAACCCTAAACCCTAAACCCTAAACCCTAAACCCTAAACCCTAAACCCTAAACCCTAAACCCTAAACCCTAAACCCTAAACCCTAAACCCTAAACCCTAAACCCTAAACCCTAAACCCTAAACCCTAAACCCTAAACCCTAAACCCTAAACCCTAAACCCTAAACCCTAAACCCTAAACCCTAAACCCTAAACCCTAAACCCTAAACCCTAAACCCTAAACCCTAAACCCTAAACCCTAAACCCTAAACCCTAAACCCTAAACCCTAAACCCTAAACCCTAAACCCTAAACCCTAAACCCTAAACCCTAAACCCTAAACCCTAAACCCTAAACCCTAAACCCTAAACCCTAAACCCTAAACCCTAAACCCTAAACCCTAAACCCTAAACCCTAAACCCTAAACCCTAAACCCAAGTCATTTGCTAAATTTTTTTCTCTCTCTAACTTTCTCTCTCTAGGATTCTCTCTCTCGTTCTTTCCAGTTTTCGTGAGTGACTTGCTGGGAATTCTGGTTGATCGGAGCTCTTACCGGTGCCGGAATTCCAACATTGTTGATTGAATTCACTCTAAAACCAATTCCAATTGTTTATACGATTGGAGGTGGGATGTTCGGGAAAATTGGAAATATGTTCGGCATGAATTACAAAGATCCACCTGATCCAGCTAACAAAAATCTATACGAAGATGATCTGGAAGCTGATATTGGAGCTAAACGAAGAGGAAGAAGAGCTGTGCACAAGGAATTTTCTCCTTACTCAGCGATTAAACCACTGCGATCGAAAGAAAAAATGGAAGCTACAGCTAATCGATTAAGGGAAGAAAAGAAATATCTGAATTCGAAATCAATTGCTGATGGATCCAAAGTAGTTCTTCGAGCTGGAATACGTGAAGTAATCAAGTCGAATTATGGGAAAGAAAACAATGATCCGCAATTTATAAAATCGGAACTGGATGCGTTTGATAAGGTGATTGCCGAACAGAAAAGAATGGAAGAAGAAAAAGGATTTGTGTTGCTCCAAGTAACTTCAGATATGGTTAAAGGATTCAATTCTTCTAAGAATTCGGTGGTTGGGTTATCTCCTTCGCCTCCTGTAATTCAAGCGAGCATGGAAACGAATGCTGGCACTGTAACTGGGTCAAACATTGGAATTTCAATTGGAACGAAGATTGACAAAGGAAATTTAGTTGATGAGTCGAAATATACCAAGGGCTTCATTGCTTCGAAGATAATGAAGGCTGGTTCGTCTTCTTCAGGCCCTGGTTCCATAATTGAAACAAATGATGGGAAGGGCATTTTGGGAAAATTCCCTGTTTCGCAAGATGTTCCAGTTATAACAGGTAATCCTTTGGTCTTTGAAGCTAATCCTATTGCTCCAATTAGTTGTCTTACTAATTGTAATGATGAAGATATGAAAGATTCTATTAATGAGAATGGGAATTTGGAAGTTGATCCTGGAAATAATATGAAGAAGGAGCAGGGAGCTAATTTTTTGAACATGGATTTTACCAAACCTGTTATATCCCCTGCAGCTAAATTGGTTAGTGATTACAATAAAAAATCTTATGCTCGTATGGTTGAATCAACAATTACTGCAGTGGATCTTAATATTAAAGTAATTCCAAAAGTTGATGGGAAACCTAGTGGGAAAGTTGAGTTACCTTATGCAGATTTAATGTTGGGTGGTGCTCCTTATCATGCTACTTTGTATGGATTTTTTGTGGGGAAAAAGCTTGCTTTCCCAACAGTTAATCATTTTTCTTTTAAGATGTGGAAGATGTATGGGCTGAAGGATATAATGGTGAATGATGAGGGATTTTTTTTCTTCAAGTTTGATTCAAAAGAAGGAATGATGAGTGTGCTGGAGGGAGGTCCATGGTTGATTAACAATGTCCCAATGTTTGTTCAAAGATGGAGGCCAGGTCTAGTTTTGAGTAAACCGCAAATTAATTCAGTTCCTGTATGGGTTAAAGTGTTTAATGTTCCTTTGGAGTATTGGAACAGCAAAGGAATTACGTTGATTGCAAATGAGATTGGGAAACCAATTGCTATGGATAAAATCACTCAAAAAATGTGTAATGAGCACTGGGGAAGGCCAGCTTTCATGCGATTTCTTGTGGAAATGTCAGCAGAATCGGAATGGATGAAAGAATTAAGTGTTGTATCAATAGATTTTGGGACAGGAGAGAAAGTTGAATCAAAGTGCAGGATAGAGTATGCATGGAGACCTGATATTTGTAGTCATTGCAAAATTTACGGGCATAAAAATAACAATTGTGGGATTCTAAATGGAAAAAAGAATAATGATGTTACTGATGTTGCTGTTGACAGAGAAGAAAAGGAGAGAAAAGAGAAAGTGGATGATGATGGGTTCATATTAGTAACAAAGAAAAACAATAAAGGGCAGAAATTCAATACCGGAGTGGTTATTAATGAAGAAGGGAAGGTGGATTTAATAAAATCTTTGGAGAAAAACACCAAGCCTGTTTTTGATGGAATGGTTGTTAGCAATAATGATGAAAGTCTTAAGGATGAGGGTAATCAAGGAATGGAAATAAGCAAAAAAATTAAAGAACAAGAAAATAAAAAAGGAGGCCAAAATGAAGATCGAAGCAATGAAGGGGCAGAAAATCGGAAGAATGGGGTAATTTCTTGAAATTTGCTGTGGGTAATCTAAAAAAAGATGGGAAAGAGAAAGGGGTATTTCAGTCAAAAGATGATAAAAGTGGGAGAAAGAATGGGACAGGGGTGTTCATTCCAAAAGAGAAATTAGGAACAAGAGTGAAGAATGTAATTGAAAACTTTAATGCTAAAAAAGATGGAATACAGGGGAAAAGAGAAGAAAATCAGAAAAAAGTGTATGTTCCTAAGAAGCAAGTGGAGTTAAAAGTGAGTTCTAATTTTGATAATTTAGGTTCTACGTCAGGAAAAATTGATCAAGATGAAATTACAACACAAAACCCATTTGATGTTCTTGCTGATTTGGGTTTAAGAGATATGTCTTATCTTGATGAGATGGATTCGGAGATTTTAACTGGAGGTGGCCAGGAGATAAGCACCGAAAATAAAATTGGTGATTAATGATGATGAATATAGGGTGTTGGAACGTGAGGGGTTCGAATTTAAGACCAAAACAGGAAGAAATAAAAAATGTGATAAGAAGTAATAAGTTGTCGTTGTTTGCTATTCTTGAATCTCAGTTGAGATTTAATAAGTTACAAGCGACTTGTAATAATGTTTTTGGGAGCTGGATGTGGATTTCGAATCAAGACATGAGCCCTAAAGGCACTCGCATTATAATTGGATGGGACCCAAATGAAGTTATTGTCATGCCTTTGGATGCTAATAGTCAAGTGATGCATTGTCAAGTCATATTTATCAAGGAGAATAAGAGGTTGTTTTGTTCTTTTGTTTATGGCTGCAATTATTATATAGACAGAAGAAAACTTTGGGATTCATTGGGAAAGCATTATAATTTGGTTGCTGGTCAACCATGGTTGATTGCTGGAGATTTTAATGTTACCAGGGAACTTGTGGATACGATGGCTGGTCATTCTAAAATTTCGAGGGGTATGGTAGAATTTAATGAGTGCATTAATTCTATTGAAGTCCAAGATATAAATAGTAATGGATTGCACTACACATGGAATCAAAGACCACGTGGGGCTTTTGGGGCTTTGAAAAAACTTGATCGTGTGCTTGGGAACCATAAACTGATTGAAGATTTTCCGAATGTGTTTGCTAACTTTCAGCCTTATCGGATTTCAGATCATAGCCCTATGATTATCAAATTCCCAATTAAAAGAAAGTTCAGGGTCAGACCGTTCAAGTTTGTTAATTCTCTTGTGCTGCTGGATAATTTTCTGCCCATTGTTGAAAGTGTTTGGAAGACGGATGTTGAAGGATTTGGTATGTTTAGGCTTTGTCAGAAATTAAAGCTTTTAAAGAAACCTCTCAGGAAACTGTTAACTAGTCATGGCAATTTTGCTGAGAAAGTTTCTAAATGCAGAGAAGAATTATGTAGGGTCCAGGAAAGTCTTGATTTGGACCCATGCAATGAAGAGCTGAGATTTGAAGAAGGAATATACCTGCAATCTTTCTTGAATGCTAGCAGGGAAGAGGAGAGTTATTTAAAACAAAGAGCTAAAGTGCATTGGATTAAGGAGGGAGATTCAAATTCTGCTTACTTTCATAAGGTTGTGAAGGGTAAAATAAACAGAAACAGAATTGAAACAATCCTTGATGGAAATGGAAATTGGAAGGAAGGGGATGAAGCTTTTAAGGTCATTGTGGATTATTTTGGTGAATTTCTTGGAGTTGAACATGGTGTTGTTCCCATTATTAGACCGGAAGATCTTGATTTCAGGAAACTTGACATTCAACAAGCTGTGGATATGATCAAAGATGTTACTGATGAGGAAATTAAGGCTGCCCTCTTTGATATTGATGATGACAAAGCGCCTGGCCCTGATGGTTTTTCTTCTAAATTCTTTAAGAAAGCTTGGATGATAGTGGGGAGTGATTTTTGCTTTGCTGTTAAAGAATTTTTTATCTCAAAAAAGATATTGAAGGAAGTTAATGCTACTGTTATTGCGTTAGTTCCTAAAGTTCAGACACCAGGCAAGGTTGGGGACTATCGGCCAATATCCTGTTGCAATGTGATCTATAAATGCATTAGCAAAGTTATTGTCAACCGCATTAGAGATCATCTTGGATGCTTGGTTTCGGATAATCAGTCGGCTTTTATTCCAGGGCGTTCAATATTGGATAATATTTTGTTATCTCAAGAACTTGTCAGAGGGTATCATATTAATAGGGGCTTTGCTAGGTGTGCTATGAAAGTTGATATTCAAAAAGCGTATGATACAGTTAATTGGTGTTTTTTACGGAATATATTGAAAGAGTTTGGATTTCATGAATTTATGATAACTTGGATTATGAATTGTGTTACTACTTCCTCTTTTATGATCAATATAAATGGAAGTTTTCATGGGTTTTTCCAAGGAAAGAGAGGCCTCAGACAAGGTTGCCCTTTATCTCCTTACCTCTTCACACTTGTTATGGAGGTGTTTAATTTAATGCTTAAAAGGAGAATAAAGGAATGTAGTGATTTTAAATACCATTGGAGATGTAAAGAACAGGAGCTTACCCATTTATGTTTTGCTGATGACCTGATGGTTTTTTGTCACGGAAATTCTGAATCTATAAAAGTGATCAAGAAGACGATGGATGAATTTGCTAATTCGGCTGGCCTTGTTCCGAATCTGTCCAAAAGCCACATCTTTTTTGGGAATGTTAAGGTGCAATTTAAAAGGAAAATCTTGAGGATTCTGCCTTTTGTTGAAGGTAAACTGCCTATGAAATATCTTGGGATTCCGTTGATTTCTACTAAGCTTTTTATTAGAGATTGTAAGGGTCTTATAGATAAAGTCAAGAAGAGAGTTAATGACTGGAAAAACAAATCCTTGTCTTATGCTGGAAGACTTCAACTAATAAGTGCTGTTCTTGCTTCAATTCCTGTCTATTGGGCTTCAGTGGTTTTATTACCAAAAGTCATAAATAAAGAAATTGGGAAAATAATGAGGGAGTTTCTTTGGAATAGTGGGCAGAATTGTAAAGGAGTTGCCAAGGTGTCATGGAATAAAATATGTAAGCCAAAGAATTATGGAGGGCTTGGGCTGAAAAATCTTAAAGATTGGAATATTGCTCTTCTATCGAGTAGAATTTGGAAGCTTATTAGTGGGCAAAATTCTCTGTGGGTGAAATGGGTTAATTGTTATTTGCTTGATGGAAGAAGCTTTTGGGATGTTGGTCCAAAAGACAGAATGAGCTGGAGTTGGAGAAATCTTCTAAAGATTCGGCCTTTTTTAAGAGATTTTTTCTATTCTCGAATTGGAAATGGAAAAGGAACTAGCATGTGGTACGATAATTGGCATCAATTGGGGCCTTTGTGCTATGTTTTATCTCCCAGGGAAATTACAAATGCTGGATATAACATAAGGGACAAAGTAGGTGATGTTATTGTTGATGAAAATTGGAATTGGCCTTCTGAATGGATTGAAATGATTCCTCAATTGGGTGATTTTAATGTGCCCAGGATCATCAGAGAGAAAAAAGATGAAGTGCTTTGGGTTAATTACAAAGGAAAAATTGTTCCTTTTGCGGTTAATCAGGTCTTTTCTTCTATTATGTGCCGTGAGACAATTGTTGAATGGTATGATTTAGTTTGGTTCCAAAATAGAATTCCAAGTCACTGTTTTATCCTATGGCTTGCTATCCTGGGAAGACTAAGAACGCATGATAGAATGAAGAGATGGAATGAAGCTAACGATTTCAGTTGTGTTTTCTGCAATTCTCAATTAGATTCACATACCCATCTATTTTTTAACTGTAAGTTTACAAAGGAAGTTTGGGACTTGATGAAAAATAAAGTGAATTTGAATCATAAATCTGGAAACTGGTTCGATATCATCAAAGAACTCCAACATTCTTTAAAAAAAAAAGCATAAATAATTTTGTTAGGAAAATTGCTTTGGCGGCTTCCATTTATCATATCTGGAATGAAAGAAACAAAAGATTGTTTGGGAAACCGAGCAATTCAGTGGAAACTGTTGTCAAGATAATCACAGAAGATATCAGAACGAAAATATTTAGCCTTAATCTGGGATATCTTGGGCTTGATGAAGAGGTGTGCAAGGAATGGAATGTTCCTGTTAAAAACAAAGATTATTTTCATGAAAATCGAAGTTAATTTGAAGAGCAGGTTGTATGAAGAATTGTCAGAGTGGCTAGCATGGAATTGGTGGGATTTGAGCTTTGATGAAGCTTGGATTGTGAATATAAGGAAGAATGTTAATAAAAGCGGGAATTCAAATAAGACATTTAAAGGGTATTATGGTCAAAGCTGGAATTGTAATAAATTGAAGGAATTATTATCGACTATCTTGAGTTTTATTGGTATCGGCTATAACTATGATACAGGGGATTGGAAGAAGCTGGATTCGGATAATAAAAATTGCAGGTGCGGTTCTTTTATTCAGGGGCTGATTGGAGTGTGGTTTAATAAAGAAGAGAGTGGAACAATTTGTGTTGTGGGTGATAATTTTGTTCTGTTTGTGAGAAGTATGATCTTATATTTTAGCGATTGTTGGTACAGAGAAAGGAAAAACAAGAAACAGCGGCATATTGGGATTGAGGGGTATTGTGGGAATTTTAAAATTTTCTGGTCTTATTGTCCTGTTCGAGATAAATGTGGGGGAGAGAATAAATGGAAGACTCTTAAAAAAAGTGTTTTTTTAAGAATTTGGATTAAAGGGTATCGTGGTCAATATTGGGGAAAAATTAATATGGATGATCCAATCGGGAATTGCTTGGGGATGATAGAAATTTGGAGGAAGGACACAGTGAATGGGAATAAGAAGGGTGGGTTTTTTGATAAAAATTTGAATGTTGATAATGGAAATGGGCGGAGGGATGTTCAGCAGGTTTTGGATTCAAATAAGATAAATAACAAGCGAGGGCAATTTGGGAATTTTCATATTAATGAGGAATTATGGTGCTGGAATGATCTGAAAGGTGGTTGGATGAATCTGCAAATTGGCTGGAATAAATTTTCTGGGAGTAAAAATTCTGTTCATGTTCGTTTGAAGAGGCAGGGGTATTTTGGTCAAAATTATGAGAAGAGATTCATTTTTGCTCATTACATGATGATCCTTTGGAATTTGGAAATAAAGATACAAAGAAGGAACTATTGGATATGGATGAATTCTTTTGTTTTAGAAGGAGTTCATATTCAATATTTTTATAAAAGAATTGACGGATATGGGATTTTTACCAATTTTTCCCTTAAAATTGGATTGCAACTCGGTTTAATCCCGAGTATCATTTGGTTCATACCTTATGATGTGGTTAATTTTCACTATTATATGGAATTTATTTCCATTTATTGTGAAACTCCGCTTTGGAAACACGGTGTTTACTACCAAGGATTTGACGGAAATGGGAGTTTTTTCATTTTTTCCCTTAAAAATGATTTGCATCTCGGTTTGATCCCGAGTTTCATAAGATTTTTTCTTGTGAAGTGGAATTCAAAAAAGTGCATATGGGTTTTATCCCCATAAGTTGTGTTTTTAATCCTATTAATTTAGGATTCTCCACAATTGTGGGTGCCACTATTGGTTCGATCAGTAAGTGGTGGGATATTCACCCGTCAATAACCAGGCTTGGGTACGTCATCCTTAGACTGTACCACCAATTTTTTGGCATTTTTTGGGTAACAAAATGTCACTCTTTGTCTGGTTCAAATCTGGAAACTTTAGTTGGTTGGTTTTCCCTCTTTTTCCATAAAAAGAATAAAAATCTTGGTTCAAGTCCAAGTAGTATAGTCATGTGGTTTGCCCCATTTTTCCAAAAATGGATGTTTTTTACCGGTTCAAATCCGGACTATTTAGTTGGTTGGTTTTTCTTCTTTTTCCATAAAAAGAACTTAAATCTTGGTTCAATTCCAAGTAGTTTAGTCATGTGGTTGGCCCCTTTTTTCCAAAAAAGGATGAAGTTGTCCGGTTCAAATCCGGAAATTATAGTTTGGTTTTCTAACTTTTTCCGTAAAAAGTTCAAAAATCTTGGTTCAATTCCAAGTAATTTAGTGGGTGGGTTTTATGATTTTATCCATAAAAAATCAAGAGACGGGATTTGTGTTAAAAGAGTGTGGATGATGATGATTGATGATGACAATTGGAATGGAATGTTGGAAAAACGTTATAATCAAAGAAGGTCGGTTGAAGAGAACAAGAATAGGAAGAGTGTGAATAAATATAATAGAGAAGATGATATTTTGGCTTTTTATAGCAACATACTTTTGAGGTACATAAAAGATAATAAAGATACGAGAGTGGAGAGGAGAAAGAAGATTGCTATTATGGAGTCTTTTGGCAATGGGAAGGTTGAAACTATGTGCATTTTTGTGTGGAGATTTTGGGATATTGGTGTTCATAGGACTAGTGTTGCTATTGACACTTGGATAAGGAGCATTTATAGAAATGGCATTTTTGAAGATTGGAAGAAGAAATGGAGTTTTCACTTCGAGTATGAGCGGCAAATTGAAGACCACTCCGGGTTGTGGAGTTGGAATAGAATAATTTGTACTTTCTTTGTTTATATAGTCATTAGGGTGAGCATTTGGTTTTGGTATCTTAGAGATATTTGGATTTTGGTCTTGTTTGGGGTCATTTTTGGGGTTTGTCCAAAAATGACATAACTTTTGTTCTTTTTTTCGTGTTTTTATAAAATCTTTGCCGGGGCTTCGGCCTCTTTCCCAAAAAAAAAAAAAAAAAAAAAAAAACCTAAACCCTAAACCCTAAACCCAAGTCATTTGCTAAATTTTTTCTCTCTCTAACTTTCTCTCTCTAGGATTCTCTCTCTCGTTCTTTCTAGTTTTCGTGAGTGACTTGCTGGGAATTCTGGTTGATCGGAGCTCTTACCGGTGCCGGAATTCCAACATTGTTGATTGAATTCACTCTAAAACCAATTCCAATTGTTTATACGATTGGAGGTGGGATGTTCGGGAAAATTGGAAATATGTTCGGCATGAATTACAAAGATCCACCTGATCCAGCTAACAAAAATCTATACGAAGATGATCTGGAAGCTGATATTGGAGCTAAACGAAGAGGAAGAAGAGCTGTGCACAAGGAATTTTCTCCTTACTCAGCGATTAAACCACTGCGATCGAAAGAAAAAATGGAAGCTACAGCTAATCGATTAAGGGAAGAAAAGAAATATCTGAATTCGAAATCAATTGCTGATGGATCCAAAGTAGTTCTTCGAGCTGGAATACGTGAAGTAATCAAGTCGAATTATGGGAAAGAAAACAATGATCCGCAATTTATAAAATCGGAACTGGATGCGTTTGATAAGGTGATTGCCGAACAGAAAAGAATGGAAGAAGAAAAAGGATTTGTGTTGCTCCAAGTAACTTCAGATATGGTTAAAGGATTCAATTCTTCTAAGAATTCGGTGGTTGGGTTATCTCCTTCGCCTCCTGTAATTCAAGCGAGCATGGAAACGAATGCTGGCACTGTAACTGGGTCAAACATTGGAATTTCAATTGGAACGAAGATTGACAAAGGAAATTTAGTTGATGAGTCGAAATATACCAAGGGCTTCATTGCTTCGAAGATAATGAAGGCTGGTTCGTCTTCTTCAGGCCCTGGTTCCATAATTGAAACAAATGATGGGAAGGGCATTTTGGGAAAATTCCCTGTTTCGCAAGATGTTCCAGTTATAACAGGTAATCCTTTGGTCTTTGAAGCTAATCCTATTGCTCCAATTAGTTGTCTTACTAATTGTAATGATGAAGATATGAAAGATTCTATTAATGAGAATGGGAATTTGGAAGTTGATCCTGGAAATAATATGAAGAAGGAGCAGGGAGCTAATTTTTTGAACATGGATTTTACCAAACCTGTTATATCCCCTGCAGCTAAATTGGTTAGTGATTACAATAAAAAATCTTATGCTCGTATGGTTGAATCAACAATTACTGCAGTGGATCTTAATATTAAAGTAATTCCAAAAGTTGATGGGAAACCTAGTGGGAAAGTTGAGTTACCTTATGCAGATTTAATGTTGGGTGGTGCTCCTTATCATGCTACTTTGTATGGATTTTTTGTGGGGAAAAAGCTTGCTTTCCCAACAGTTAATCATTTTTCTTTTAAGATGTGGAAGATGTATGGGCTGAAGGATATAATGGTGAATGATGAGGGATTTTTTTTCTTCAAGTTTGATTCAAAAGAAGGAATGATGAGTGTGCTGGAGGGAGGTCCATGGTTGATTAACAATGTCCCAATGTTTGTTCAAAGATGGAGGCCAGGTCTAGTTTTGAGTAAACCGCAAATTAATTCAGTTCCTGTATGGGTTAAAGTGTTTAATGTTCCTTTGGAGTATTGGAACAGCAAAGGAATTACGTTGATTGCAAATGAGATTGGGAAACCAATTGCTATGGATAAAATCACTCAAAAAATGTGTAATGAGCACTGGGGAAGGCCAGCTTTCATGCGATTTCTTGTGGAAATGTCAGCAGAATCGGAATGGATGAAAGAATTAAGTGTTGTATCAATAGATTTTGGGACAGGAGAGAAAGTTGAATCAAAGTGCAGGATAGAGTATGCATGGAGACCTGATATTTGTAGTCATTGCAAAATTTACGGGCATAAAAATAACAATTGTGGGATTCTAAATGGAAAAAAGAATAATGATGTTACTGATGTTGCTGTTGACAGAGAAGAAAAGGAGAGAAAAGAGAAAGTGGATGATGATGGGTTCATATTAGTAACAAAGAAAAACAATAAAGGGCAGAAATTCAATACCGGAGTGGTTATTAATGAAGAAGGGAAGGTGGATTTAATAAAATCTTTGGAGAAAAACACCAAGCCTGTTTTTGATGGAATGGTTGTTAGCAATAATGATGAAAGTCTTAAGGATGAGGGTAATCAAGGAATGGAAATAAGCAAAAAAATTAAAGAACAAGAAAATAAAAAAGGAGGCCAAAATGAAGATCGAAGCAATGAAGGGGCAGAAAATCGGAAGAATGGGGGTAATTTCTCGAAATTTGCTGTGGGTAATCTAAAAAAAGATGGGAAAGAGAAAGGGGTATTTCAGTCAAAAGATGATAAAAGTGGGAGAAAGAATGGGACAGGGGTGTTCATTCCAAAAGAGAAATTAGGAACAAGAGTGAAGAATGTAATTGAAAACTTTAATGCTAAAAAAGATGGAATGCAGGGGAAAAGAGAAGAAAATCAGAAAAAAGTGTATGTTCCTAAGAAGCAAGTGGAGTTAAAAGTGAGTTCTAATTTTGATAATTTAGGTTCTACGTCAGGAAAAATTGATCAAGATGAAATTACAACACAAAACCCATTTGATGTTCTTGCTGATTTGGGTTTAAGAGATATGTCTTATCTTGATGAGATGGATTCGGAGATTTTAACTGGAGGTGGCCAGGAGATAAGCACCGAAAATAAAATTGGTGATTAATGATGATGAATATAGGGTGTTGGAACGTGAGGGGTTCGAATTTAAGACCAAAACAGGAAGAAATAAAAAATGTGATAAGAAGTAATAAGTTGTCGTTGTTTGCTATTCTTGAATCTCAGTTGAGATTTAATAAGTTACAAGCGACTTGTAATAATGTTTTTGGGAGCTGGATGTGGATTTCGAATCAAGACATGAGCCCTAAAGGCACTCGCATTATAATTGGATGGGACCCAAATGAAGTTATTGTCATGCCTTTGGATGCTAATAGTCAAGTGATGCATTGTCAAGTCATATTTATCAAGGAGAATAAGAGGTTGTTTTGTTCTTTTGTTTATGGCTGCAATTATTATATAGACAGAAGAAAACTTTGGGATTCATTGGGAAAGCATTATAATTTGGTTGCTGGTCAACCATGGTTGATTGCTGGAGATTTTAATGTTACCAGGGAACTTGTGGATACGATGGCTGGTCATTCTAAAATTTCGAGGGGTATGGTAGAATTTAATGAGTGCATTAATTCTATTGAAGTCCAAGATATAAATAGTAATGGATTGCACTACACATGGAATCAAAGACCACGTGGGGCTTTTGGGGCTTTGAAAAAACTTGATCGTGTGCTTGGGAACCATAAACTGATTGAAGATTTTCCGAATGTGTTTGCTAACTTTCAGCCTTATCGGATTTCAGATCATAGCCCTATGATTATCAAATTCCCAATTAAAAGAAAGTTCAGGGTCAGACCGTTCAAGTTTGTTAATTCTCTTGTGCTGCTGGATAATTTTCTGCCCATTGTTGAAAGTGTTTGGAAGACGGATGTTGAAGGATTTGGTATGTTTAGGCTTTGTCAGAAATTAAAGCTTTTAAAGAAACCTCTCAGGAAACTGTTAACTAGTCATGGCAATTTTGCTGAGAAAGTTTCTAAATGCAGAGAAGAATTATGTAGGGTCCAGGAAAGTCTTGATTTGGACCCATGCAATGAAGAGCTGAGATTTGAAGAAGGAATATACCTGCAATCTTTCTTGAATGCTAGCAGGGAAGAGGAGAGTTATTTAAAACAAAGAGCTAAAGTGCATTGGATTAAGGAGGGAGATTCAAATTCTGCTTACTTTCATAAGGTTGTGAAGGGTAAAATAAACAGAAACAGAATTGAAACAATCCTTGATGGAAATGGAAATTGGAAGGAAGGGGATGAAGCTTTTAAGGTCATTGTGGATTATTTTGGTGAATTTCTTGGAGTTGAACATGGTGTTGTTCCCATTATTAGACCGGAAGATCTTGATTTCAGGAAACTTGACATTCAACAAGCTGTGGATATGATCAAAGATGTTACTGATGAGGAAATTAAGGCTGCCCTCTTTGATATTGATGATGACAAAGCGCCTGGCCCTGATGGTTTTTCTTCTAAATTCTTTAAGAAAGCTTGGATGATAGTGGGGAGTGATTTTTGCTTTGCTGTTAAAGAATTTTTTATCTCAAAAAAGATATTGAAGGAAGTTAATGCTACTGTTATTGCGTTAGTTCCTAAAGTTCAGACACCAGGCAAGGTTGGGGACTATCGGCCAATATCCTGTTGCAATGTGATCTATAAATGCATTAGCAAAGTTATTGTCAACCGCATTAGAGATCATCTTGGATGCTTGGTTTCGGATAATCAGTCGGCTTTTATTCCAGGGCGTTCAATATTGGATAATATTTTGTTATCTCAAGAACTTGTCAGAGGGTATCATATTAATAGGGGCTTTGCTAGGTGTGCTATGAAAGTTGATATTCAAAAAGCGTATGATACAGTTAATTGGTGTTTTTTACGGAATATATTGAAAGAGTTTGGATTTCATGAATTTATGATAACTTGGATTATGAATTGTGTTACTACTTCCTCTTTTATGATCAATATAAATGGAAGTTTTCATGGGTTTTTCCAAGGAAAGAGAGGCCTCAGACAAGGTTGCCCTTTATCTCCTTACCTCTTCACACTTGTTATGGAGGTGTTTAATTTAATGCTTAAAAGGAGAATAAAGGAATGTAGTGATTTTAAATACCATTGGAGATGTAAAGAACAGGAGCTTACCCATTTATGTTTTGCTGATGACCTGATGGTTTTTTGTCACGGAAATTCTGAATCTATAAAAGTGATCAAGAAGACGATGGATGAATTTGCTAATTCGGCTGGCCTTGTTCCGAATCTGTCCAAAAGCCACATCTTTTTTGGGAATGTTAAGGTGCAATTTAAAAGGAAAATCTTGAGGATTCTGCCTTTTGTTGAAGGTAAACTGCCTATGAAATATCTTGGGATTCCGTTGATTTCTACTAAGCTTTTTATCAGAGATTGTAAGGTCTTATAGATAAAGTCAAGAAGAGAGTTAATGACTGGAAAAACAAATCCTTGTCTTATGCTGGAAGACTTCAACTAATAAGTGCTGTTCTTGCTTCAATTCCTGTCTATTGGGCTTCAGTGGTTTTATTACCAAAAGTCATAAATAAAGAAATTGGGAAAATAATGAGGGAGTTTCTTTGGAATAGTGGGCAGAATTGTAAAGGAGTTGCCAAGGTGTCATGGAATAAAATATGTAAGCCAAAGAATTATGGAGGGCTTGGGCTGAAAATCTTAAAGATTGGAATATTGCTCTTCTATCGAGTAGAATTTGGAAGCTTATTAGTGGGCAAAATTCTCTGTGGGTGAAATGGGTTAATTGTTATTTGCTTGATGGAAGAAGCTTTTGGGATGTTGGTCCAAAAGACAGAATGAGCTGGAGTTGGAGAAATCTTCTAAAGATTCGGCCTTTTTTAAGAGATTTTTTCTATTCTCGAATTGGAAATGGAAAAGGAACTAGCATGTGGTACGATAATTGGCATCAATTGGGGCCTTTGTGCTATGTTTTATCTCCCAGGGAAATTACAAATGCTGGATATAACATAAGGGACAAAGTAGGTGATGTTATTGTTGATGAAAATTGGAATTGGCCTTCTGAATGGATTGAAATGATTCCTCAATTGGGTGATTTTAATGTGCCCAGGATCATCAGAGAGAAAAAAGATGAAGTGCTTTGGGTTAATTACAAAGGAAAAATTGTTCCTTTTGCGGTTAATCAGGTCTTTTCTTCTATTATGTGCCGTGAGACAATTGTTGAATGGTATGATTTAGTTTGGTTCCAAAATAGAATTCCAAGTCACTGTTTTATCCTATGGCTTGCTATCCTGGGAAGACTAAGAACGCATGATAGAATGAAGAGATGGAATGAAGCTAACGATTTCAGTTGTGTTTTCTGCAATTCTCAATTAGATTCACATACCCATCTATTTTTTAACTGTAAGTTTACAAAGGAAGTTTGGGACTTGATGAAAAATAAAGTGAATTTGAATCATAAATCTGGAAACTGGTTCGATATCATCAAAGAACTCCAACATTCTTTAAAAAAGAAAAGCATAAATAATTTTGTTAGGAAAATTGCTTTGGCGGCTTCCATTTATCATATCTGGAATGAAAGAAACAAAAGATTGTTTGGGAAACCGAGCAATTCAGTGGAAACTGTTGTCAAGATAATCACAGAAGATATCAGAACGAAAATATTTAGCCTTAATCTGGGATATCTTGGGCTTGATGAAGAGGTGTGCAAGGAATGGAATGTTCCTGTTAAAAACAAAGATTATTTTCATGAAAATCGAAGTTAATTTGAAGAGCAGGTTGTATGAAGAATTGTCAGAGTGGCTAGCATGGAATTGGTGGGATTTGAGCTTTGATGAAGCTTGGATTGTGAATATAAGGAAGAATGTTAATAAAAGCGGGAATTCAAATAAGACATTTAAAGGGTATTATGGTCAAAGCTGGAATTGTAATAAATTGAAGGAATTATTATCGACTATCTTGAGTTTTATTGGTATCGGCTATAACTATGATACAGGGGATTGGAAGAAGCTGGATTCGGATAATAAAAATTGCAGGTGCGGTTCTTTTATTCAGGGGCTGATTGGAGTGTGGTTTAATAAAGAAGAGAGTGGAACAATTTGTGTTGTGGGTGATAATTTTGTTCTGTTTGTGAGAAGTATGATCTTATATTTTAGCGATTGTTGGTACAGAGAAAGGAAAAACAAGAAACAGCGGCATATTGGGATTGAGGGGTATTGTGGGAATTTTAAAATTTTCTGGTCTTATTGTCCTGTTCGAGATAAATGTGGGGGAGAGAATAAATGGAAGACTCTTAAAAAAAGTGTTTTTTTAAGAATTTGGATTAAAGGGTATCGTGGTCAATATTGGGGAAAAATTAATATGGATGATCCAATCGGGAATTGCTTGGGGATGATAGAAATTTGGAGGAAGGACACAGTGAATGGGAATAAGAAGGGTGGGTTTTTTGATAAAAATTTGAATGTTGATAATGGAAATGGGCGGAGGGATGTTCAGCAGGTTTTGGATTCAAATAAGATAAATAACAAGCGAGGGCAATTTGGGAATTTTCATATTAATGAGGAATTATGGTGCTGGAATGATCTGAAAGGTGGTTGGATGAATCTGCAAATTGGCTGGAATAAATTTTCTGGGAGTAAAAATTCTGTTCATGTTCGTTTGAAGAGGCAGGGGTATTTTGGTCAAAATTATGAGAAGAGATTCATTTTTGCTCATTACATGATGATCCTTTGGAATTTGGAAATAAAGATACAAAGAAGGAACTATTGGATATGGATGAATTCTTTTGTTTTAGAAGGAGTTCATATTCAATATTTTTATAAAAGAATTGACGGATATGGGATTTTTACCAATTTTTCCCTTAAAATTGGATTGCAACTCGGTTTAATCCCGAGTATCATTTGGTTCATACCTTATGATGTAATTAATTTTCACTATTATATGGAATTTATTTCCATTTATTGTGAAACTCCGCTTTGGAAACACGGTGTTTACTACCAAGGATTTGACGGAAATGGGAGTTTTTTCATTTTTTCCCTTAAAAATGATTTGCATCTCGGTTTGATCCCGAGTTTCATAAGATTTTTTTCTTGTGAAGTGGAATTCAAAAAAGTGCATATGGGTTTTATCCCCATAAGTTGTGTTTTTAATCCTATTAATTTAGGATTCTCCACAATTGTGGGTGCCACTACTGGTTCGATCAGTAAGTGGTGGGATATTCACCCGTCAATAACCAGGCTTGGGTACGTCATCCTTAGACTGTACCACCAATTTTTTGGCATTTTTTGGGTAACAAAATGTCACTCTTTGTCTGGTTCAAATCTGGAAACTTTAGTTGGTTGGTTTTCCCTCTTTTTCCATAAAAAGAATAAAAATCTTGGTTCAAGTCCAAGTAGTATAGTCATGTGGTTTGCCCCATTTTTCCAAAAATGGATGTTTTTTACCGGTTCAAATCCGGACTATTTAGTTGGTTGGTTTTTCTTCTTTTTCCATAAAAAGAACTTAAATCTTGGTTCAATTCCAAGTAGTTTAGTCATGTGGTTGGCCCCTTTTTTCCAAAAAAGGATGAAGTTGTCCGGTTCAAATCCGGAAATTATAGTTTGGTTTTCTAACTTTTTCCGTAAAAAGTTCAAAAATCTTGGTTCAATTCCAAGTAATTTAGTGGGTGGGTTTTATGATTTTATCCATAAAAAATCAAGAGACGGGATTTGTGTTAAAAGATTGTGGATGATGATGATTGATGATGACAATTGGAATGGAATGTTGGAAAAACGTTATAATCAAAGAAGGTCGGTTGAAGAGAACAAGAATAGGAAGAGTGTGAATAAATATAATAGAGAAGATGATATTTTGGCTTTTTATAGCAACATACTTTTGAGGTACATAAAAGATAATAAAGATACGAGAGTGGAGAGGAGAAAGAAGATTGCTATTATGGAGTCTTTTGGCAATGGGAAGGTTGAAACTATGTGCATTTTTGTGTGGAGAATTTGGGATATTGGTGTTCATAGGACTAGTGTTGCTATTGACACTTGGATAAGGAGCATTTATAGAAATGGCATTTTTGAAGATTGGAAGAAGAAATGGAGTTTTCACTTCGAGTATGAGCGGCAAATTGAAGACCACTCCGGGTTGTGGAGTTGGAATAGAATAATTTGTACTTTCTATGTTTATATAGTCATTAGGGTGAGCATTTGGTTTTGGTATCTTAGAGATATTTGGATTTTGGTCTTGTTTGGGGTCATTTTTGGGGTTTGTCCAAAAATGACATAACTCTTGTTCTTTTTTTCGTGTTTTTATAAAATCTTTGCCGGGGCTTCGGCCTCTTTCCCAAAAAAAAAAAAAAAACCCTAAACCCTAAACCCAAACCCTAAACCCTAAACCCAAAACCCTAAACCCTAAACCCTAAACCCTAAACCCTAAACCCTAAACCCTAAACCCTAAACCCTAAACCCTAAACCCTAAACCCTAAACCCTAAACCCTAAACCCTAAACCCTTAACCCTAAACCCTAAACCCTAAACCCTAAACCCTAAACCCTAAACCCTAAACCCTAAACCCTAAACCCTAAACCCTAAACCCTAAACCCAAACCCAAGTCATTTGCTAAAATTTTTTCTCTCTCTAACTTTCTCTCTCTAGGATTTTCTCTCTCGGTCTTCCAGTTTTGGTGAGTGGCTTGGTTGGGATTCTGGTGATCGGATCTCTTGCCGGTGCCGGAATTTCATCATCATTGATTGAATTTACTCTAAAATCAATTCCAATTGTCTATACGATTGGTGATCGGATGTTCTGGAAAATTGGAAGTATGTTTGGCATGAATTATAAAGATCCACCTGATCCAGCTAACAAAAATCTATATGAAGATGATCTGGAAGCTGATGTTGGAGCTAAACGAAGAGGAAGAAGAGCTATGCACAAGGAATTTTCTCCGTATTCAATGATTAAACCATTACGATCAAAAGAAAAAATGGAAGCTAAAATTAATCGGTTAAGGGAAGAAAAGAAGTATCTGAATGCGAAATCTATTGCTGATGGATCGAAAGAAGTTCTTCGAGCTGGAGTACGTGAAATAATAAAATCAAATTATGGGAAAGAAAATATAGATCCGCAATTTATAAAATCGGAGTTGGAGGCATTTGATAAGGTGATCGCTAATCAGAAAAAATTGGAAGAAGAAAAAGGATTTGTGTTGCTCCAGGTAACCTCAGATATGGTTAAGGGATATAATTCTTCTAAGAATTTGGTGGGTGGATCATCTCCTTCGTCTCCTGTTATTCAAGCGAACATGGGAATGGATGCTGGAACTGTAGCAGGGTCGAACAATAGAATTTCAGCTGGAACAAAAAATGACAAAGGCATTTTGGTTGATGAGCCGAAGATTACTAAGGACTTCATTTTCTCGGAATTAATGAAGATGGGTTCGTATGCTTCAGGCCCTGGTTCGTCTTCTTCAGGTCCTGGTCCAGTAATTGAAACAAATGAAGGGAAGGGCATTTTGGGAAAGTTTCCTGTTTCGCAAGTTGCTTCAGTTAATTCAGGTATTCCGGTGGTCTTTAATGCTAATCCTATTGACTCAATTAGTTGTAATACTAATTGTAATGATGAAGATATGAAAGATTATATTAATGAGAATGGGAATTTGGAAGTTGGTTATGGTAATAATATGAAGAAAGAACAGGGAGCTAATTTCTTGAATATGGATTTTTCGAAACCTGTCCTCTCCCCTGCAACTAAGTTGGTTAATGAGTTCAATAAAAAATCTTATGCTTGTATGGTTGAATCAACAAATAATGTGGTGGATCTTAATATCAAAGTTATTCCAAAAGTTGATGGGAAACCTAGTGGGAAAGTTGAGTTACCTTATGCAGATTTAATGTTGGGGGGTGCTCCTTATCATGCTACTTTGTATGGATTTTTTGTGGGGAAAAAGCTTGCTTTCCCAACAGTTAATCATTTTTCTTTTAAGATGTGGAAGATGTATGGGCTGAAGGATATAATGGTGAATGATGAGGGATTTTTTTTCTTCAAGTTTGATTCAAAAGAAGGAATGATGAGTGTGCTGGAGGGAGGTCCATGGTTGATTAACAATGTCCCAATGTTTGTTCAAAGATGGAGGCCAGGTCTAGTTTTGAGTAAACCGCAAATTAATTCAGTTCCTGTATGGGTTAAAGTGTTTAATGTTCCTTTGGAGTATTGGAACAGCAAAGGAATTACGTTGATTGCAAATGAGATTGGGAAACCAATTGCTATGGATAAAATCACTCAAAAAATGTGTAATGAGCACTGGGGAAGGCCAGCTTTCATGCGATTTCTTGTGGAAATGTCAGCAGAATCGGAATGGATGAAAGAATTAAGTGTTGTATCAATAGATTTTGGGACAGGAGAGAAAGTTGAATCAAAGTGCAGGATAGAGTATGCATGGAGACCTGATATTTGTAGTCATTGCAAAATTTACGGGCATAAAAATAACAATTGTGGGATTCTAAATGGAAAAAAGAATAATGATGTTACTGATGTTGCTGTTGACAGAGAAGAAAAGGAGAGAAAAGAGAAAGTGGATGATGATGGGTTCATATTAGTAACAAAGAAAAACAATAAAGGGCAGAAATTCAATACCGGAGTGGTTATTAATGAAGAAGGGAAGGTGGATTTAATAAAATCTTCGGAGAAAAGCACCAAGCCTGTTTTTGATGGAATGGTTGTTAGCAATAATGATGAAAGTCTTAAGGATGAGGGTAATCAAGGAATGGAAATAAGCAAAAAAATTAAAGAACAAGAAAATCAAAAAGGAGGCCAAAATGAAGATCGAAGCAATGAAGGGGCAGAAAATCGGAAGAATGGGGGTAATTTCTCGAAATTTGCTGTGGGTAATCTAAAAAAAGATGGGAAAGAGAAAGGGGTATTTCAGTCAAAAGATGATAAAAGTGGGAGAAAGAATGGGATAGGGGTGTTCATTCCAAAAGAGAAATTAGGAACAAGAGTGAAGAATCTAATTGAAAACTTTAATGCTAAAAAAGATGGAATGCAGGGGAAAAGAGAAGAAAATCAGAAAAAAGTGTATGTTCCTAAGAAGCAAGTGGAGTTAAAAGTGAGTTCTAATTTTGATAATTTAGGTTCTACGTCAGGAAAAATTGATCAAGATGAAATTACAACACAAAACCCATTTGATGTTCTTGCTGATTTGGGTTTAAGAGATATGTCTTATCTTGATGAGATGGATTCGGAGATTTTAACTGGAGGTGGCCAGGAGATAAGCACCGAAATAAAATTGGTGATTAATGATGATGAATATAGGGTGTTGGAACGTGAGGGGTTCGAATTTAAGACCAAAACAGGAAGAAATAAAAAATGTGATAAGAAGTAATAAGTTGTCGTTGTTTGCTATTCTTGAATCTCAGTTGAGATTTAATAAGTTAAAGCGACTTGTAATAATGTTTTTGGGAGCTGGATGTGGATTTCGAATCAAGACATGAGCCCTAAAGGCACTCGCATTATAATTGGATGGGACCCAAATGAAGTTATTGTCATGCCGTTTGGATGCTAATAGTCAAGTGATGCATTGTCAAGTCATATTTATCAAGGAGAATAAGAGGTTGTTTTGTTCTTTTGTTTATGGCTGCAATTATTATATAGACAGAAGAAAACTTTGGGATTCATTGGGAAAGCATTATAATTTGGTTGCTGGTCAACCATGGTTGATTGCTGGAGATTTTAATGTTACCAGGGAACTTGTGGATACGATGGCTGGTCATTCTAAAATCTCGAGGGGTATGGTAGAATTTAATGAGTGCATTAATTCTATTGAAGTCCAAGATATAAATAGTAATGGATTGCACTACACATGGAATCAAAGACCACGTGGGGCTTTTGGGGCTTTGAAAAAACTTGATCGTGTGCTTGGGAACCATAAACTGATTGAAGATTTTCCGAATGTGTTTGCTAACTTTCAGCCTTATCGGATTTCAGATCATAGCCCTATGATTATCAAATTCCCAATTAAAAGAAAGTTCAGGGTCAGACCGTTCAAGTTTGTTAATTCTCTTGTGCTGCTGGATAATTTTCTGCCCATTGTTGAAAGTGTTTGGAAGACGGATGTTGAAGGATTTGGTATGTTTAGGCTTTGTCAGAAATTAAAGCTTTTAAAGAAACCTCTCAGGAAACTGTTAACTAGTCATGGCAATTTTGCTGAGAAAGTTTCTAAATGCAGAGAAGAATTATGTAGGGTCCAGGAAAGTCTTGATTTGGACCCATGCAATGAAGAGCTGAGATTTGAAGAAGGAATATACCTGCAATCTTTCTTGAATGCTAGCAGGGAAGAGGAGAGTTATTTAAAACAAAGAGCTAAAGTGCATTGGCTTAAGGAGGGAGATTCAAATTCTGCTTACTTTCATAAGGTTGTGAAGGGTAAAATAAACAGAAACAGAATTGAAACAATCCTTGATGGAAATGGAAATTGGAAGGAAGGGGATGAAGCTTTTAAGGTCATTGTGGATTATTTTGGTGAATTTCTTGGAGTGGAACATGGTGTTGTTCCCATTATTAGACCGGAAGATCTTGATTTCAGGAAACTTGACAATCAACAAGCTGTGGATATGATCAAAGATGTTACTGATGAGGAAATTAAGGCTGCCCTCTTTGATATTGATGATGACAAAGCGCCTGGCCCTGATGGTTTTTCTTCTAAATTCTTTAAGAAAGCTTGGATGATAGTGGGGAGTGATTTTTGCTTTGCTGTTAAAGAATTTTTTATCTCAAAAAAGATATTGAAGGAAGTTAATGCTACTGTTATTGCGTTAGTTCCTAAAGTTCAGACACCAGGCAAGGTTGGGGACTATCGGCCAATATCCTGTTGCAATGTGATCTATAAATGCATTAGCAAAGTTATTGTCAACCGCATTAGAGATCATCTTGGATGCTTGGTTTCGGATAATCAGTCGGCTTTTATTCCAGGGCGTTCAATATTGGATAATATTTTGTTATCTCAAGAACTTGTCAGAGGGTATCATATTAATAGGGGCTTTGCTAGGTGTGCTATGAAAGTTGATATTCAAAAAGCGTATGATACAGTTAATTGGTGTTTTTTACGGAATATATTGAAAGAGTTTGGATTTCATGAATTTATGATAACTTGGATTATGAATTGTGTTACTACTTCCTCTTTTATGATCAATATAAATGGAAGTTTTCATGGGTTTTTCCAAGGAAAGAGAGGCCTCAGACAAGGTTGCCCTTTATCTCCTTACCTCTTCACACTTGTTATGGAGGTGTTTAATTTAATGCTTAAAAGGAGAATAAAGGAATGTAGTGATTTTAAATACCATTGGAGATGTAAAGAACAGGAGCTTACCCATTTATGTTTTGCTGATGACCTGATGGTTTTTTGTCACGGAAATTCTGAATCTATAAAAGTGATCAAGAAGACGATGGATGAATTTGCTAATTCGGCTGGCCTTGTTCCGAATCTGTCCAAAAGCCACATCTTTTTTGGGAATGTTAAGGTGCAATTTAAAAGGAAAATCTTGAGGATTCTGCCTTTTGTTGAAGGTAAACTGCCTATGAAATATCTTGGGATTCCGTTGATTTCTACTAAGCTTTTTATTAGAGATTGTAAGGGTCTTATAGATAAAGTCAAGAAGAGAGTTAATGACTGGAAAAACAAATCCTTGTCTTATGCTGGAAGACTTCAACTAATAAGTGCTGTTCTTGCTTCAATTCCTGTCTATTGGGCTTCAGTGGTTTTATTACCAAAAGTCATAAATAAAGAAATTGGGAAAATAATGAGGGAGTTTCTTTGGAATAGTGGGCAGAATTGTAAAGGAGTTGCCAAGGTGTCATGGAATAAAATATGTAAGCCAAAGAATTATGGAGGGCTTGGGCTGAAAATCTTAAAGATTGGAATATTGCTCTTCTATCGAGTAGAATTTGGAAGCTTATTAGTGGGCAAAATTCTCTGTGGGTGAAATGGGTTAATTGTTATTTGCTTGATGGAAGAAGCTTTTGGGATGTTGGTCCAAAAGACAGAATGAGCTGGAGTTGGAGAAATCTTCTAAAGATTCGGCCTTTTTTAAGAGATTTTTTCTATTCTCGAATTGGAAATGGAAAAGGAACTAGCATGTGGTACGATAATTGGCATCAATTGGGGCCTTTGTGCTATGTTTTATCTCCCAGGGAAATTACAAATGCTGGATATAACATAAGGGACAAAGTAGGTGATGTTATTGTTGATGAAAATTGGAATTGGCCTTCTGAATGGATTGAAATGATTCCTCAATTGGGTGATTTTAATGTGCCCAGGATCATCAGAGAGAAAAAAGATGAAGTGCTTTGGGTTAATTACAAAGGAAAAATTGTTCCTTTTGCGGTTAATCAGGTCTTTTCTTCTATTATGTGCCGTGAGACAATTGTTGAATGGTATGATTTAGTTTGGTTCCAAAATAGAATTCCAAGTCACTGTTTTATCCTATGGCTTGCTATCCTGGGAAGACTAAGAACGCATGATAGAATGAAGAGATGGAATGAAGCTAACGATTTCAGTTGTGTTTTCTGCAATTCTCAATTAGATTCACATACCCATCTATTTTTTAACTGTAAGTTTACAAAGGAAGTTTGGGACTTGATGAAAAATAAAGTGAATTTGAATCATAAATCTGGAAACTGGTTCGATATCATCAAAGAACTCCAACATTCTTTAAAAAAGAAAAGCATAAATAATTTTGTTAGGAAAATTGCTTTGGCGGCTTCCATTTATCATATCTGGAATGAAAGAAACAAAAGATTGTTTGGGAAACCGAGCAATTCAGTGGAAACTGTTGTCAAGATAATCACAGAAGATATCAGAACGAAAATATTTAGCCTTAATCTGGGATATCTTGGGCTTGATGAAGAGGTGTGCAAGGAATGGAATGTTCCTGTTAAAAACAAAGATTATTTTCATGAAAATCGAAGTTAATTTGAAGAGCAGGTTGTATGAAGAATTGTCAGAGTGGCTAGCATGGAATTGGTGGGATTTGAGCTTTGATGAAGCTTGGATTGTGAATATAAGGAAGAATGTTAATAAAAGCGGGAATTCAAATAAGACATTTAAAGGGTATTATGGTCAAAGCTGGAATTGTAATAAATTGAAGGAATTATTATCGACTATCTTGGTTTTATTGGTATCGGCTATAACTATGATACAGGGGATTGGAAGAAGCTGGATTCGGATAATAAAAATTGCAGGTGCGGTTCTTTTATTCAGGGGCTGATTGGAGTGTGGTTTAATAAAGAAGAGAGTGGAACAATTTGTGTTGTGGGTGATAATTTTGTTCTGTTTGTGAGAAGTATGATCTTATATTTTAGCGATTGTTGGTACAGAGAAAGGAAAAACAAGAAACAGCGGCATATTGGGATTGAGGGGTATTGTGGGAATTTTAAAATTTTCTGGTCTTATTGTCCTGTTCGAGATAAATGTGGGGGAGAGAATAAATGGAAGACTCTTAAAAAAAGTGTTTTTTTAAGAATTTGGATTAAAGGGTATCGTGGTCAATATTGGGGAAAAAGTAATATGGATGATCCAATCGGGAATTGCTTGGGGATGATAGAAATTTGGAGGAAGGACACAGTGAATGGGAATAAGAAGGGTGGGTTTTTTGATAAAAATTTGAATGTTGATAATGGAAATGGGCGGAGGGATGTTCAGCAGGTTTTGGATTCAAATAAGATAAATAACAAGCGAGGGCAATTTGGGAATTTTCATATTAATGAGGAATTATGGTGCTGGAATGATCTGAAAGGTGGTTGGATGAATCTGCAAATTGGCTGGAATAAATTTTCTGGGAGTAAAAATTCTGTTCATGTTCGTTTGAAGAGGCAGGGGTATTTTGGTCAAAATTATGAGAAGAGATTCATTTTTGCTCATTACATGATGATCCTTTGGAATTTGGAAATAAAGATACAAAGAAGGAACTATTGGATATGGATGAATTCTTTTGTTTTAGAAGGAGTTCATATTCAATATTTTATAAAAGAATTGATGGATATGGGATTTTTACCAATTTTTCCCTTAAAATTGGATTGCAACTCGGTTTAATCCCGAGTATCATTTGGTTCATACCTTATGATGTGGTCACTTTTCATCAATATATATGGAATTTATTCCATTTATTGTGAAATCCGCTGGAAACACGGTGTTTACTACCAAGGATTTGACGGAAATGGGAGTTTTTTCATTTTTTCCCTTAAAAATGATTTGCATCTCGGTTTGATCCCGAGTTTCATAAGATTTTTTCTTGTGAAGTGGAATTCAAAAAAGTGCATATGGGTTTTATCCCCATAAGTTGTGTTTTTAATCCTATTAATTTAGGATTCTCCACAATTGTGGGTGCCACTACTGGTTCGATCAGTAAGTGGTGGGATATTCACCCGTCAATAACCAGGCTTGGGTACGTCATCCTTAGACTGTACCACCAATTTTTTTGGCATTTTTTGGGTAACAAAATGTCACTCTTTGTCCGGTTCAAATCTGGAAACTTTAATTGGAAGGTTTTCCCTCTTTTTCCATAAAAAGAATCTAAATCTTGGTTCAAGTCCAAGTAGTATAGTCATGTGGTTTGCCCCATTTTTCCAAAAATGGATGTTTTTTACCGGTTCAATCCGGACTATTTAGTTGGTTGGTTTTTCTTCTTTTTCCATAAAAAGAACTTAAATCTTGGTTCAATTCCAAGTAGTTTAGTCATGTGGTTGGCCCTTTTTTCCAAAAAAGGATGAATTTATCCGGTTCAAATCCGGAAATTATAGTTTGGTTTTCTAACTTTTTCCGTAAAAAGTTCAAAAATCTTGGTTCAATTCCAAGTAATTTAGTGGGTGGGTTTTATGATTTTATCCATAAAAAATCAAGAGATGGGATTTGTGTTAAAAGAGCTTGGGTGATGATGGTTGATGAAGACAATTGGAATAGGAATGTTGGAAAAGCGTTATAATCAAAGAAGGTCGGTTGAAGAGGAAAAGAATAGGAAGATTGTGAATAAAGATAATAGAGAAGATGATAATTTTGGCTTGTTATAGCAACATACTTTTGAGGTACATAAAAGATAATAAAGATACAAGGGTGGAGAGGAGAAAGAAGATTGCTATTATGGAGTCTTTTGGCAATGGGAAGGTTGAAACTACGTGCATTTTTGTGTGGAGATTTTGGGATATTGGTGTCCATCATAGGACTAGTGTTGTTATTGACACTTGGATAAGGAGCATGTATAGAGAATGGCATTTTTGAAGATTGGAAGAAGAAATGGAGTGTTCACTTCGAGTACGAGCGGGAAATTGAAGACCACTCCGGGTTGTGGAGTTGGAATAAAATAATTGTACTTTCTTTGTTTATATTGTCATTAGGGTTAGCATTTGGTTTTGGTATCTTAGAGATATTTGGATTTTGGTCTTGTTTGGGGTCATTTTTGGGGTTTGTCCAAAAATGACATAACTCTTGTTTCTTTTTTTCGTGTTTATATAATCTTTGCCGGGGCTTCGGCCTCTTTCCCAAAAAAAAAAAAAAAAAAAAACCCTAAACCCTAAACCCTAAACCCTAAACCCAAACCCTAAACCCCTCTCTCTTTGTTTCTCTCTCTTCTCTGGCGATTCCCTCGTTTTCCAACCGTTTTTCCGGCACCGTTCGTTTTTTCGGCATCCGTTTGCAAAATCCTGATATCAATTTGTTCCTCTTCTCCCGCTTAATCTAAGGATACTATTTGATCGATCTATGGAGGTGTTCCACCTGATTTGGAACCTGATGTAATAATGAGAAAAAAAGGAAAAAATGCGAAGTTGAAAAATAAGCTCAAATTCGTTCTGGATAATGAACCCAATCAATTGAATGTTCCATTGAAAGATAAATCGGTCACTACACTTGTTAACAAATTCGAATCTGAAGCTAATTTGATTGAAAGGAAAATTCAGTGGAGCTTAAAGTCGAAGTTTCAGCTGGCAAAATTGATACTAGCGAGAATGAGATTGCAAAGTTGTCAACAGGTTCCGAAGTTGATGCTATGGCTCCTTTAATGGCTCCGTTGGTAAATTACATTACGATCAAGAAGGAAGAAGT